CAGCAACAGCAGGCAAAGGACGAGGAGGAGGAGGAGGAGGAGGAGGAGGAAAGCCCGGCGAGCCGCAGCCGCGAACCGAGCAGGAGGAGGAGGAGGAGGAGGAGGAGGGGAAACGCGAGAGCGAGAAAGAAAGAGAGGCGAAGAAGCCGCAAAAGAAAAGAAGACAAGGGAAAGCGGGCGGGCGAGCGAGAGCTGCGGACGACGAACGGAAAGGAAGAAGGCGAGGCATTTGTTTGGCTGTCCCCCCCCCGCACGCACACACACACACACACGCCCGCCCCTCCGCTCGCTCTTCTCCTCCTCCTCCTTCTCCCCCCCTCCTCCTTTTCCTCTCCCTCGGTTGATGTTTCTACAGCTTCGCCAAACTCCGAGCGGGGCATCCGATCCCGGCACAACCGGCAACGGAACCACCACGAGCTGCAGCAAGAGCGGCGGCGGCGGCGGCACCAGCGGCAGCAGCGCGAAGAGCCGGGACTCGCCGTCTCCTTCTCCTTCTCCTCCTCCTCGCCGTCCTCGCCGTCCTCCTCCTCCGGAGCGCCGTGCTGAGCGTGGGATCTTGCAGGGCTCGCCGGCCACCGCCTGTCCGAGGTGCTGCCAGCTCTCTCTCTCTCCCCCGTCGCCCGTTCCATGGCTTTTCTGAATGGCTGACTGCGGGCTTTTCTGGATCTGGCCCCCAGACACCACCGCCGCCACCGCCAGCATCTCCTCCTGCAACTCCAGTCGGCTCCAAGAGAGAGAGGGAGGGGGAGATCTTTGAAGGGAATCGCCTCTCTCTCTCTCTCTCTCTCTCTTCTTTCTTTCCTTCCCTCCCCTCAACCACCCTCTTTTGTATTTTGACTTTTCTTCCTCTTTTGCTACCAGACAATCGCCTCGACCCTGCCTCTTCTTCAATCCTGTCCCTCGGTCCCCTTCTTCTTCCTCCTTCTTTTTCTTTCTTTTCTTTTTCTCTCTTCTTCTTCTTTTCCCCTCTTTTCTTTCTTCTCCTTTTTTCCCACCCACTTTGGTGTGTGTTTTTTTTCTGGGCGTCCCGCCTTCTTGACCATTTGGTCCACCCTGCGAGCATCGGGGGGAGGAAAAAAAAATAAGGAAAGGACGAAGGGAAAAAAAAAACAAAAAAGCCAGAATCACCGCAGCCCCGCAATAAGGACATTAAATTAAATTAAAAAAGAAAGGACCAGCGGAAAAAAGGAAAAAAAGAGAGAGAGGAGAGAAATATATATATATACTCCACGCCACCCGGGCAACTTCGAGGGAGAATTAAGGAAGAAGAGAAAAAGGAAAGGAAGAACGGCGGCCAGCAGGAACTGGGGAAGAGAGAGAGAAAAAGCAGGGAAGAGGAATTAAAAAAAAGAGAGAAAGCCAAGCGACTGCAAAGTGGCCGGTCTTGGGTCGGGAGATCCAGCCACCTCTCCAGGCCGGCCGGCAGCCGGACAGCCGCGCGGGCGCCGCCGTCGGAGGCAGCGGATCCCGGGAGCGACCACGAGCGACGGGGGGGCGAGCGATTTGGCCGAGGTGTCCCTTAGATATGGCAATGGTAGTTGGCGCGTGGCGAGACCCGCAGGACGATGTGGCCGGCCCGCAAGGAACGCAGCCCTCGCAAGCCCCTCCCGTGCCGGGACCCCCGACCGGCGCCCCACACACCCCACAGACGCCGGGCCAAGGGGGACCCCCCAGCACGCCGGCTCAGAACAGCCAGGGCAGCCAGGCCAGCCAAGGGGACAAGCAGCAGCAGCAGCAGCACATCGAGTGCGTGGTGTGCGGGGACAAGTCCAGCGGCAAGCACTACGGGCAGTTCACGTGTGAAGGCTGCAAGAGTTTCTTCAAGCGCAGCGTCCGCAGGAACCTGAGCTACACGTGCCGCGCCAACCGGAACTGCCCCATTGACCAGCACCACCGCAACCAGTGCCAATACTGTCGGCTCAAAAAATGCCTCAAGGTTGGCATGAGACGGGAAGGTATTGGGATTTCATTTGTTTTCCACTTCTCATCACCGGGGGGGGGAGGGTGAAGGTGGAGAGAAGGGGACGAGACCCGACTGGGGTAAGAGCAGGAGAGGTGGTAGAGGAACAGTCGGCTTTGCCTGCCGGTGTAAACTTCAGCCGGACGAGTAGAATAGCTCTCTTTTTAGAAAGCAAGCGAGCAAGAGCAGCGTTTTCTGTAACAGAAATAGCGATGTTTCTTGTGTACTTTTTTCTTTTTTGACCCCTCTGGTTTTCTTTTCTTTTCCTCCTTTTTCCTTTCTTTTCATCTACTGCCGTGCATGTGCCTGGGTTGTCCCTCTTCTTGGGAAGCAGTTCGAGGAATTGAAGGGAGCCTCTTTCCAAGCATCTCCTGTGTGTTTTGGGGTGGCCGATCAGTTTCCGGACAAGGCATGGAAAACCCTAAGAGAAGCGAGTTTCCATTTCCCACCCACCTCCTTTCCCAAACATACACACACACGTAGAGAGAGGCAGCTGCCTCTCTCTCTCCCACCCGTGCACGATTCGGGTCGTGCCTTGAGAAGGACCGGATGAGATCCTGATTTTTTTTAAGGGGGGGGGAGGTCACCGACAGCGGAGAAAGGCAGATTTTTTTTTGGAAAGGAAATGAGAGCTTTCTTCGCAGCCCCCAAAAACATGCATTCATCCTGTTGAAGAGCCTCCCTCCCCCATTTATTTCCAGAAAGCAAGCTAACCTCGGACTCAAGGCTCTGTAAACTTCTCTCGCCTTCCTCTCCTTCCCTGCACCCGCGAACAATCATCATAAATACATAAAATCGATCGAGGAACCCGTTGGCCAAAGAGGCCTCCGGCCGGGTCTTTCCCTCCGGAATTCCACCAGACTTTTTTTCGTCTCCTCGGTTTATAGGATTTTAAAATTTCTGTCCAGGTCGAAGGGGAAGAAGACATTTTTAAAAAGCTCGCCTTTCCTCTTTCTCTCTCCCTCTCCTCCCTTCCTCCCCCTCTGTCTCTGGCCGTCCTTTTCGGCTCTGGAGGCAAACGATCGCCCTGCTTTTTTTCCTTTCCCTCCGACTCTGCTGATTATTCTTGCTGTTCTGATGATGATCGCCCCCTTCCTTGCAGAGGTGGGGAGGGTGGGAAAGAGGGGGAGAGGAGGTTTGGGGAGACTGGAAGGAAAGAAAAAATTAGGAGCTGGCTCGCCCCAGATGGAGATGGCTTGGCCGGAGCAAAGATGGAGCGCCGCGCTGGAAGTCTGCGGAGCGAAAGCAAGGCCGGCCTCCGACTTCCTCGCGGCGCGGCGTTGCCCTCTCCTTTCCCCGCCGCCGGTGTCCGGATCGCGTTCGGGGGCGGCTCTCCTCCGCTTGCCCGCAACGCTCCGCGTCTCTCCCTTTGGGCCGCACGGGGGGCCAGATCCGGCGCCCCAGAGGTCTCCTTTTCTTCCCCCCCCCTCCACCCCCGGCTCGGCTTCTTTTCCTTTCCCCGGTGGCTCCCGGCTCCGTGTCTCTTTCCTTGTTCTCTCTTCCTCTGGTGCGTTTAGGCAGCCAAAAAGGAAAGGCCCGCTTTCCGGGGAGCGGGGGGGAGAAAAAGAAAGAAAGAAAGGAAAAAGCCAGCCGATCCGAAGGCTTTGCAACGCTCTCCGCCGCGCGCGCCCCCCCTCTCCAACCTAATGGCCTAGAAATCTAACAATGGAACTCACCCGGTCGACATACGTTCATTCACACATACATGCATGCAGAGAGAGAGAGAGAGAGAGAGGCTGGGGAAATCATGTCGCTCGTCTCGCTTTGGCTTCATAAAACAAAGCACCCTCCGCCGTGTTTTTAAGGGAAAGGCCTCGGGAACCCGGGACAGGCTCGTGCCCACTTTTGCCTGGTACAGATATGTAAAAATATATATTTATTTATATATTGACGGGGCCGGTGTAGGAAAGCAGAGGTTTTGAATAAATCAGAAGGGCGGGGGAGAGTTCTTAGGGCGATTTAAGGGAGCGCGTTTCTAGCACAGCGGCTGGTGGTGGGTTGCTTTCAGAGTCCCTTAATTCTTTGGCGAGCGAGGAGGGCCCCCATCCCTGTCTATGACTTTGCCCACCTTCTCGGTCCACCCTTCCGATTGTTGTTTTTTTGCCCCCACGTGCCCTCTTCTTTCCATGTCCGCACAGACCTAGCCAGAAGGAGAGAAGGATCTGGCCCTTCTCGGAGGGGGGGTTGGTTTTTAAGATCAAAAACACAGGCGCACGAGGGTCGGGGGTGCCCTGGCGTTGGGACGGAGGGGGTGGCCTGCGACAGCCTGTGGGGTTTTCCCTCCT